CGCAAAGTTCATTTGGCAAATATTTAGACTTATAATAGCAGCTTTTATATAGTAGTGTATAGTGATATTTTGTTAAGATACTCACAACAAGAATGGCATCAAGCTTTCGCAAAGCTGGGATATTCATCAACAGATCACTTCTTTGCCGCGTCACCATGATCTATAAAAAGGAGGACGAAGCAATTTTTTAAGGTAACAAGAAGTCCAATTAATCAATCGAAATATTTGCTCAGGTACTTGCTTCTTAATTACCTCCATGCTGACACCATTATTGGATTGCTGTGCCGGGACAAACTCGACAATATGATCAGTTACAGAGAGAAGCCATTCAATTTCCTTTATCCACCTTCCTCTTGCATCTGCATTCATTGGTTCTAATCTTCTTTGTTCTCCAAAAACAGATGCTGTCACAATTCAAACAGGCAGAATCAGCTTGATGCATACTTAAAAAATGTTGGAAACAAAAAAGAAGCTTGGCAAAGGTAAATCCTTTGGCCTCCTGGAAATTAAAGACTGTACCGTACCAGCAAGGTTTGTGATTGCATTTGACAATGCCAAAGCTGACGAAACACCCTTTCCACCTCCAGACATGTCTTCACCTAACAACAGCTTCCCGAACTTTTCCTTCATCAAATCCAAATCTGCACCAATTTATTTTTTGCAGTCCGCATTACACAAATGAGTAAGTATTATTCTAATCATTTTTTTATTTTTATTTAAACGCATTTGACAAACTCATTTTACCAGAGGGACCCTTTTGGATAGGTGTCTTAGTAGGAGGTCCACAATCTGCACGCTTTGGTTCACGTTCTGGAGGAGACCCTTCCACTTCCACAGGTTGCACCGTCTCGAGGAGCCCTCCTGCATTGTTGCTTTTGCTTTTGGGAAGATTCGGAGGAGTGATCTTGGTCGATTGTTGATGTTGTAGTTGTTGCGATGCCTGTGGCTGTGGTGGTTCCTCCTGATCAACAGTGCTCTTGGGAGGAGCGCTCTTCGCTGATTGTTGGTGTTGAAGTTGTTGTGGTGGCTGTTTCTCCTGATCAACAACATTGTTGGTCGACCCATCGTTATCGTTATCGTTGTTGGTGGTGGTCGGAGTGGTGTTGGTATTCCCGTGGTCGAAAAACATGCTGCTAATCTGTCTCCCCGGTATCTCAAGCATCCTTCTCAATGTTGTTGATTTGGCCCTCGGAACATTCGTAGGTTCCTGTTCTTGATCTTTCTCCAGTGCTCGAACCATGTCATCCGCCGGTTTTCGGTCTCCCTTCCCGCCCTTGATAGTTTTTCTCCTTGCCCTCCCTGTTAGAGATAACAGAAAGGAAGAGACAGGCACCGCTATCCAATTTCCTAGCCCCTTATTATAAGCCTTCAGGCTTTTTAAATGATCTATTGTTGATGCCTTTGCTTCTCAGGAACGTGGAAGGAGAGAACGCTCCAGGAAAGATGACCGGCTGGTGCCAAAATGGGAGACAAAGAAAAACAAGAATGGATTTTTCAAATGGGATGGTAACAAGGTAAAGTTTGTCTTCCTTGTATTTAATCTAAAGGAGAAAAACTCCACATCATTTGCTATTTCATATTGAATGGTTTTCTTCCCCAATGCTTTCTTTACTTTTTATGTGCATATTGTGAGGTGCATGTTCAGCGTGGAGAGGAAAAAATAGATTATTAAGGGGGGAAAATACTGTACAGTAACGGACTTTGACAAGGCAGGGAACAAAAAATAAAATTTTACATAACAGAAGGGGAAACAACATGTCTTTTTGGGTTGGTGTTTGTTGGAGAAGAACGAATGGCGGAAATTTACGTGGGAAGTAGTTGAGATGTCTTTTTGGGTTGGTGTTTGTTGGTGTCAGTTGATGGCTGCCTGCCTGCATTGCTGGATGGCTCTTGCGGTTAGTTCACTTTACCGTTAAAATATTGCGCCTATTTTTGGCATGTAGTTGAGATGCATAGATTTTTTCACTTTTTCATGAGAGTCGATGGTTAGGGATGGGGTTCTCAAAGGATGAATTTGGCTAGGTGTCGTGTTTACGTCGTTAGATGTTGTGGATTTAACAATCCAACTATGTGAGCATTTACTCATGATAAGGCTAATTAAGAGGTTAATGGACTTGTTACATAAAAGGCTTTTTCTATAGGACATTATAGTTGCTGTTATAACGTTCGCCTTTCATTCTGGCGGTTGGAAATGGGATTTGTGAAGAAGTAAAAAACATGGGGAAAATAAGAATATTTACAACGCTGATTTGGTGTTGGATTCTAAAGATAATGATAGAGAGGGAGAGGGTCAACCCTATTTCGTCGGTGTAGAACTTATTCGTTTGTATAATAATTAATAAGAGGAAGTATATAGTGAAATAATTAGCGATTAGAAAAAAAAATAAGAAAGGAAAAATAGTGCAACGAGTAGGTAGGGATTGTATCGACAGGGGTACTACACACTGGTGGGGTTTTAGGTTTGGTGTTTGACCAATGATCAAATTTTTTATTGGCAATAAGAAAACCTTATGTTCTGGAAGGCTATTGCTAACATCATTCTTAGGGACAATTAATAGAATAATGGGGAATTGATTGGGCGATTGTTCTCGCTTGATTCAACGCTTATTTGTTGCAAACTAGGCATCGAGACTTAAAAGAGGGGCAAATATTGCCAAATGGTGAGCAGTCGTGATTTCAGTTGTTGGATGGATAGATTGCTGAGTACTTTACTCAATAATTCGAGTGGTTGAAAGAAGATTAACAATGAATTTTATATCATTCTTTTATCCATCCTCTTTAATGAAATACAACTTACAGATTTAAAGATTTCACAGATTTAAAAATGTAAATATTGTGGATTATGAAGAGTTAAATAAGCGTCCAATTTGGTCAAACCAGCTCGTATACCACTCCCTTAAATTTATATTCCACATGCAGGGAGACACTAATCTTTCCAACACGCTAGCAAAATTTGGAGGGAGACAATTAAAGCCAGGGTTCCAAGTGGACATGCATATGAACTAATCTTTCCAATTCGCACATCAGCTTGAATTGTATAAGCTTAATGTTGTTTGATCTTTGAAACAGACCACAGATTTGCAAGAACATAAAGAGGACTATAATGAGGTCAATCTAGTGTTCGAAATTTGATTTGCAACTATAGATAAGATATTCAGAGGAGAAGAAGAAACCAGTTCATATGCATGTCCACTTGAAGGTAAAAGTTATAGACCTGTTATAGCTGGTCTCCTTAACTTATAGTTGACACAATATAAGGTATAGCTCTTTCTAGTTAACATCTCTTTATTTCTTGTTTTCGGTAACAGAAGAACAATGTACAGAAAAGCCATGGTCCTAAGAATAATGTTCCTTTGGAGACCGTAGGATGCATAGAGAATGTTCAGTCTGCTGACTTCAAAGCCAGAATCTAATTCAGAACCTTCCTTTTAAGCAGCCAAGAGTTTCTCACTTGTGGTGAGGAGGAGATCTTTCCTCCCACTGCCTCTTCTCCAAACACAGTCTACCAGCATCAACCACATTCGATGGACTAGTGATAATGGTCGATTCATGCGGGATAAGTAGCCTTGAAGAGAAGGAAGTTGAGGGATCCCAAAGAAAAGTAGATGAAAGTCCCTTGCTTGTGGGTGAAGAAACAACCGAAACTCGAACCCACCACACACTGCCATCCTCCTCCATATGACGGGTAGTTATCATAAATGGTCACAAACCTTTGTACTTAGTACAAAATGGTCACAAATCTTTAATTTGTAACGATTTGGTAACAAAAGTATGAATTTGTACAAAATGGTCAATTCTGGTAATTTTTCTGTTAGATTTGCCTTCTCAGCGTCCACGTCATGAACAAAATTCATAAAAAAACCAACCAAAAAACCAAAACCAAACCGGCACTCGTAACCAACCTGACCCCAACCTAAGACAAAACTCTTGTCCCTCACCTCGGAGCTCTTGCCGCCGTCCACCATCTCGCGGTCGCAGCTCGACCTGGGCTTCTCTCTTATCCTCACTGTCCGTCGCAGAACTTCTCAAAATCTCAGGCCGCCTTCCTCAATTAACCCCCATGAGGTATTCTTCGATTTAACTCGCTCGATCTTCCGACGATTCATGGTGGAGAACTATCCTCGATGGAATCTCTCCTCCTCTGTGGCTCTTTGCCTTCATTCACCTCTCTTTCATTTTTTGGTAATGGCCATCTGATTAAATTAATTAAAACTTAAAACACAGAGGGGAAAAAACAAATAGGAACGAAGTGATTTCGTTCCAATTGGCACAGACGAGATTATACCTAGCTAAGTTTGCCTCTCTTTCATTGAATCCAAATGGTGGGTGATGATTTCGTTCCCACTGCTACCTGTAACCCCTCCTACAGGGTATTACTACGGCGGTGCATCCAGTTCCATCCCCTTCACCTGGGAATCCGCACCTAGAACTGCGAATCACAACCTGTTTGCAAACATACTTCGTCACCGACTGCGCTGCCTTCCTTCTACTCGTCCTCCAATGACTCCCACCGCCGTCGTTTCTGCTCCTCCGCCGCCATTAGATTGTCAAACTTCCTCTTCAGAGCCCTTATCCCCAAAACAAGTGCTGCTTGGGGGTTGAGGTCCTCTGGCGATGTGGAGATTGCGGCGAAGAGGGAGAGGAGAGAGAGGAATGGTTTGGGTTGGGTTGGAATTAGGGCTGGGTTTGGTTTGGTTTGGTTTTATTTATTTTTTATTTATTTTTTTTGATGACATGGATGCTGACGAGATGGTTTACTAGACTAAATTAACAGATTTTTTTGACGGAGATAGACGGAATGACCGTTTTGGTATATGATCAAAAGTGAGTTACCAAATCGTTACAAATTAAAGATTTATGACCGTTTTGTACTAAGTGTAAAGGTTTGTGACCATTTATGTTAATTAACCTCCATATGACATGTCAAATTCCTGCACCCCACACAATGCAGCAAAGTGATCTGTATCTTGCAACGAAAATACCCATGAATCAAATTTCCATCATAGACGAGAAACAGGTTCAAGTTTACCTTCTTGATGTGGGCAGCCAGAGATCTGCAGTTGAGAACATCCAAAGTGTCGAGTGCTCGTGAAGCAGAAGCCATGGCTTTGATCTGCATGGTTTCTGGCTTGTCTGTTTCCTTCAAGCATCTTCTAATTCTTGATCTGGTAATTGTTTGTCAAGAAAGCTCCTGCCTTTTTTTGAATTATGCTGGCAGGTTCTTTGGCGTTCTCTGGATGTATAGAAGGACGTGTGTGTGTAACTGTGCAAGAAATTATGGGAATTTTCTGTGGCCTTGTGTTGTTCTTCTGGTGGGTTCATATGAACAGTTTGGCTGCGTACTTTACGTATAAGAATTGAGAACTTGGGCTGCCGCAAGATGAAAGTTCCCAATCAAAGATTGGTGCCCATTTTTTCTGGTCTCATTGGCTATTGGCTTTTGGTTTTCTTGTTTTGGACGTTTACTCTAGGAGTCAATTGGATGGCTATTCTTTAAGAATGGTCTAAGCTATTAAGCCGACAATATGGAATGTGGATGGACAGAGCCTCTAATCTTATAACTAGCTTATTACCCGGCCCCTTAGCCAGACATAGTCTCAAAATTTGGTACTCTGATTTTGACTATATTATCCTTTAGCATGTCAACGACTATGGATAGAGGTAGGTCAACAATACCATAATAATCTGATGGAAAGTTATTATCCCATTGTATTTGTTAACGTCGTATTTGCACATGTTTGCACCCTCGTTTCTTGATCATTTTGGCTTGAGTTTTTGCTTTCTTGGACTATTTTACGCTAGGTTGTGTTCCTTTGTCACATTTCAGGTCCTAGCATGTAAATTGAAGCATAGGCGCAAGTTTCAAGTCAATCGGAGATCATTTGGCAATTCGGGAGAAGAAACACGAGCATGACATGAGGAAGAATGGACTTCTACCTCATATTATGGACAAATAATCATGGAAGCTTGTCATGAAAAGAAAGAGGACGAGACTAGGAGCGTCTGGGATCAAACGAGGACTGATTCGGAGCCCGAACGAGGGAGAAACGAAGCATTAAACAGGAGCGGAGGAAGAAATACGGGCATCCCCTGCCCAATTACGGGCGTAATTGCCTCTGCCCTACCCGTAAATGCAATGCCAAGCCAGATCCCTGAGAATGCCTTCGAAGATCAAATTACGGGCAAGAGCAAAATGAACTATGGTGGTAATTCCCCAAACACTGGCAGTAATTGGGTAATTACGACCGTAATTCCTCTCATCAGTGTTAAGTGAAACGCGCGTTTTGGGTGAAATACGCGCAGGCCATGTTTACGATCGTAATTCAGCCCATATTTCGCCCAGAATCGGGGTTTTGAGGCAAATTCGAGCCAAAGGAGAGGGAATCGACTTTTTGGAGCAAAAACAGAGTTTTAGAGAGAGAAAGTGCGAAGAACAAACCCTAGGAGCTATTTGGAGTGGATTTCTCACCATTGAAGCCCAGATTGCATCCCCAGGAGTGAAGATTGACATCCCATAGCAGATTCTTCCCATTGTTATAAGTATGACTGCTTTGTATTCTGTTCCCCTCTCTCTCTCTCTCTATGGAGTAGAACCTTCTCTCACTTGGGTATGAAGAACCCTAGTTCCATGTGTTAGGGATCTTGATTATAATGACTTGGGATTGTTATCCTGGTTGATTTTAATCGATTGATGCATGATTCGTTGATTCAATTAAAGCATGATCATCTTTTCTTGATTTCTTCTGCAACTTGAGATAGATAGAATCTGATTAGGTTGTTAGAGCTTCATCAATCGGTAGTGGTAGATTGGTTATACGAGAGTTAATCAATCTACTGCTTTGTACTGGAACCCAATTCCAGTAGTGGAGTTTTGTGCTTATTGCCTCAGCAGTCTATCCCGGTGAAGGTTAGTCGCCTGCCGGTTAGCCTGCATGAGAGGGCTTGATCAGCTTAAGAGATTCCAAGCTACTGTCGGATCTTCCGCAATTTAATCAACAGTAAATCAACCCAGGGTAATTACAACTGAGACCTAACTAAGGAGCTAGGGGGACTCATTCCCGAGTGACTCTTCCTTTGCTTTAGAAAACCGAACCATTTCCTGCTTTCTTACTGCTTTTAGTTAAAATCACAACCAGTCAACTTAGTTTGCTAGATAACAGATATACACGGAGTAGGCAGTAGATCTAGGCCCCGGGTTGACAATTAGAGCTTGCCTGTTACTGCATTTCCGGACTGCGATTACACTTGGTCGCAGTTTGGTGTTGTGTTTTAGCGTGTCAGTATTACAAAAGAAACATTAAAACATAAACACTATAATGGACAATCCAAATGAAGTCATTAGCCCTAAATCTAGCCACATTATTGGCAAGCACCCTAATGCCTCTAGAGTGAACATGAAAAAATCAAAGGAATACTTACCTGTCTCCAATTCCAGATGGTGAAAATGGAAGCCACCAAGAGATTTTTTAAAGAAAACACAATCTAGATTGCCCTTAGACCAAAAATCACAGTGACACCAAAGGTGATGAATCTCTGGTTGAAAAATCAAAGCTAGCAATGTCCAAATCAAGTCGATGAAATAAATAGACTGGTTATTTCTTAATAAATAGTCTTGTTAATTAAAATAACTCAAAAAGAAAAGAAATACAAAGCATGAAATTTATGGTAGAAATCTCATATACAAACAAAATAAAAAGGCAAGCGACATATGCCTAGTAACACCATTAGATAACAACTTTTGTCAATACCCCTACCACTGCAAAATCCTACAAAATCACTCATAATCACTCGCTACACTAAACACACAAATGACTTACAACTCTGTACTTTCTATCTCTTCAATATGTATAAGTCAATTGTCATGTAACCTCCCCATTATCACAATTTTTATCCTTCTCGACAGCAAACACGCTGATTGATCATTTATTACTCCTTCGTGGTAACTACATGACATTTTGCATTAGTGCACATTAATCCAAACGACCATTCCAGTTCTGTAATTTATGGCTTGACAAATAGAACTTGCCACTAGTCTGCATTTTCGGACTGCGATTACACTTGATTGCAGTTTGGTGTTGTGTTTTAGCGTGACAAGTTTTTGGCGGCGTTGCCGGGGACTTCTATGTTATTGTGGAAACGTGAAAGTTTATTACTTTAGCATTTTCTTTACTGCATTTTCTCTCTTCCACCTGTGTGCCTTCACGGGTTGCTTTTGATGATTGCGTGCAGGTAGTGAATGACCCGTAGCTAGTCGGGAGATTTACTAGCATTAGACCAAGAGCTTGAACGGACTTGTTGGAACTTCAAGCGGGCTTTAAAGGCGCGACTGGTTGCGGAGGAGGCTCTAGCACAGCTGCAAATCACCGAGGAGGAAGAAATGGGTGAACCACAGAACAATGATGTGGTCATTCCCGAGGAGCAGACCATGGGGTATTACTGGACCGCCAGAGCCGCGGACATGAGGTCGCCCATCCAGCACCCTCAAGCCACCAAATAACTTTGAGGTGAGCACCTATGTCATCACCATGTTGCGCGGCTCGGTGGTATTCCGTGGCAAGGAGGGGGAGTGCCCCCGATCACACCTGAGGCGATTCCACAAGATCATCGATGGGATCAAGATAAATGGGGTCCCAGCCGATGCCATCCAGTTGAGGTACTTCCCATTTACTCTGGAGGGGCAAGCCAAGGAGTGGCTAGACCCTCGACCTCTAGGCTCGATCACCACGTTCGCCAACCTGGCGGACAAGTTCCTCACCCGCTATCATCCTCCGTCGAAAACAGCGGACCTGCAGAAGCAAATCACCCACTTTGCCCAGGATAAAGATGAGACCATTCGGGATGCTTGGGAGAGATACGCCAGTCTTTTCCTCAAGTGTCCCAACCATGGTTTTACCGACGCGTTCAAGGTGGCATCTTCTACCATGCCCTCTTCCCGGAAGACAAGTAGCTGATTGACTCAGTTTGCGGCGGGAATATGCTCACCAAGACACCGCCACAGCTGAATCAACTCTTTGAAGAGATGGCAGAGCAGGGATATGATTGGGGAACTGCGAGGAGATCGAGATGAGCACAAGGGCGAAGTGTGCATGCTTTAGCCACCCAGCCGTCTGATTTGGTGCCGGTGGTATCTAAACTACGTTCAGCCATCGATTGCTCTGGAATGATTTCAGGTACAGGAAAGCAGCAGGCAATGCAATGCCAGTGGTGTGAAAGCTCCCATCACACTGTGGAGGACTGTCAGGCGATGAGAGAGTCAACTACTCCACAGGAGCAGGTGGACTTCATCGATAATGCAAGGCGTTTCGACCCCTACCGCAACACTTACAACGAGGGTTGGCGTCAGCATCCCAACTTCTCCTGGGGTGGGACAAATCCTAGACCACCAGTCTCCTAGGGACCGCCAGGTTTCTAGAGGCCTCCTTACCAGCCCAGACAAGGACAATTTCAGCAACAACAGTAGCCTCTTTACCCGCCCAGACTGGGGCCAGTTCCTCCTCAGTCACAGGTGCGTCCATTTCAGCAGTCGAGTGCAGCCCTCGCAGCCCTAGTACAGAGTGATCCGATGGCCGATTTGTGAGATCTGGTGGGTTCTCTGGCCACCTCCAGTGCGAATAAGTTCAGTAATATTGAGCAGTTCATGGAGAAGGCTTCAGGTAAATTCTTGGTGATAGAAGCTGGCCAGAGAAACTCGCAGGTTGTGCTGCGGGATATCCAGACCCAGCTTGGGAGTGTGGCACTGGCTGTAGCCCAGATGACCCCTGGTACTTTACCTGGTCAGACCATCCCTCATCCGCAGGACCCAAATGAGCACTGGAAGGCCATTACTACCAGGAGTGGCAAGGTGACTGCTGATCCACCTATCCGCGCACAGGAGAGAGAGACCTCTGCTTCAGCACTTCCTGTTAACGAAGAAGAAATGGAGAAAGAGGTTGAGGTGCCTACTCCTAAGCCACAACCAGTGGTGAAGGAGTATGTCCCGCAACTTCCCTTTCCTACTCGGTTGCACAAAGACCGGCTGGAGACTGAGTTTGCCAAGTTCATGGCAATGCTGAAGCGGATTTAGGCGCTAGCATAAATGTCATGCCATATAAAATGTTTAAAAAGCTAGGCCTAGGTGAACCCAGTAATACTAGGATGAGCATTCAACTTG